GGAGGCCACTCGGGGCGGCAGCGGCGCGGGGGAGGCCGCCGAGCGCCGACCCCGGGCCCGAGCCTCCCCGCGCCACGACCCGCGCTCGCCCGGTCAGCGCGCTCAGCGTCCGGGCCCGGAGCCGGCAAGTCCCGCCTCACCTGCGGGGACTCGAGCCCCGGGTGCCCAGCGCCCAGCAGAGCCAGACCGGCAGCAGAAGGACGGGGAGCCCGGGGCACATGGCGCCCGCAGCCTCTCGGGCCGAGCCGGTGGGGTCCGCTCCGCCCCGCAGCCGCCGAGCGCGCACGCGGCGCCGTGGGGACCCCACCCACCGCACTCCGGGCTTCCCCGCGGACCCGTCCTCCGTCCCTGCGGCGGCCCGTCACTCTTTACAGAACGCGGCCGTGCAGGAACACGCGTTCCTGAACCCCTGGCCGTTCCTTCCTGCCCACATAAGCACATCCGCACCCCACGTTCATGATGAAGAGAGAGCGGAATCCGCACGTTCTTTTGTCAGTAAACCGAAATTCCAGCCAGACCCGGAGACCGCGACCGTCAGTCCGGGTCGGGGAAGGCCGCTTTCCCGGGACCTGGAGCTGTCCGTGGTCCTTAAAGGGCGAGGTCCCGTTCCCGCGGCAGGCCGGCGTCCTTGGTCTCCAGCAGCCCACGGGCCCGTCGTGTCTCGCGGGAAACCGACTGGCGCACCCCGACGCCCACCTCCCCGTGTGTCCGCGGTGCGGGGCACCCAGCTGCGTCCGGGCCACAGGTTGCATATTTTCTTTTGGTGAATGATCCTTCCCAGATCTCTCTGTACTTCAGACTTTTAATAGTGAGGATGATGGTTATGCGATACTACTGTGGGCAACCAACAGAGCCCACAAATCAAACTAGTTTTCAAGTTCTGTGAACTTCTGCAGGACCTAAAGAATGGTTCAGTGATAGATAACGACTTCTCAGGATCGGCTCATTTTTTTAAATAAAGCTTTTTTTTCTACCATGAAGACTTTATATAAGTAAATAGCTAAATCTAGACCTTTATCTTAAGTTGGCATGTTTCTGTGCATTAATTTTAAATATCTTTGCCTTTTCTAAAAATCAGCAATTTTATTTTTGGAACAGTAAATGTGACTGCAGTACCTGAAAGATTCTGAGATAAATATAGCTCCCTAATTATTTTCTGGAAAAGTCTATTCATGGCTGCTTTGTACTCTGTGTCCTGTTAACATGCAGTGAAAATGTCAGCAAAATAATGTATCTGTTATCATGCACACACACACACACACACACACACACAGAGGCACATGCAAAGAGTCATAATTTAGTCTGTTTCTTCCATTTGCATGCACTTCTTTTAAAGAAATGTCCTGGTGGGGATTCTGGCTATCAAAGGTAAAGGATTTGAACAAATTCAACACCGTAGCAAGCATTTCGACCTGCCTGCCACTTCATACGTTCTAATAACTGTGAAAGCACACTACACATACTATTATCCAGCCAGGCACCACCTTACCCGTGCTGTTCTTAACTTTCACCTCTCCTTGGTGTTTTGCTTTTTGTCTCCCCATCCCCCGTACTGGGGATTGAATCTAGGGCCTTCATACTGCACTCCATCCCGAGCCCTTTTGTAGCTTTTGAGACAGGTTCTCACTAAGTCACTAAGGTGCCCAGTCTGGGCCCAAACTTAACCCTGCCTCAGCCTCCCAGATAGCTGGGATCACAAGAGTGCACCTTGGCTTTACTCATCACTGGGCTGCTGCCTCACCCAGTTTTGTAAGAGCCTGATCAGCACTGCACGGGAACAGCCCTCACTGCTCACCCCGTGCCCAGGCTGTTGTCACTCACACCCCAACTTTCAGCTGACAAGGAGATCGAAGCTGCCAGGAACATGCTCCATAACCGCACATGTGCAATCTGAAGTTCTCAGAAGGCTAGAAATCCATAGAGTGGACCTTTGGCTAATGCAAGATAGGACCCAGTGGGTGGAAGGTTCTCTCTTTATGGCCTCCTAAGAAACATTCCAGAAGGCAGCAGTTGTGGGGCATCCAGGATAACCCCTGCGGTGGATCCACCCATGGTGTCCATGCTCAGCTTCGCCTGCAGGTAGCAAGCCCTCCCTCCTATCTGCTCCCACTCTTTCCCTGCCTTGGTCCACTTTTGCTTCAGTCCCATTGTCACTGGGGTCGCACACATTAACTAAGGAGTGTCCCATACATTGCCTCAGGATGTGTTTTCCAGGACTGACCGCAGGCCAAGTCAGGAACCAACTGCTAAGTCATTAGAAAGTCTCACCTAAAACCGAGTCCTTTTTAAACTGGAAAGAGAGGACTTGCTTGTGTGCACAGGTGCTAATAAGGATGTGCGGGTGACAGGACCCAGGCACACGGTGTGCTCCTGCTGTTCCTGTCACTGCCTATCATGCGCCCACTCCCTCAGCACAGGCTGCACACCCAGCCTGGCCGTCCTCTTGTCCCTCTGGGAGGGCCGGTGAATACAGACACCAGCACCCATGTCCTCCCCTCCTGCCAGTATTACTGAAACCTAGGGTACTTGCCGAACTTGATTAAACGGTGCTAATACACTCCCTAATTCAACAGGAAATTACTCCATCAGTTCTTATTTTTACTTGTTTTTCAACTGCAGACCTCTAGGAGTCACAATGAATAAGTTTCCACCACAGAAGAAAAGGAGATAATGCCACTTTGTTCCTGGCAAAGTGGTTTCATGCAGGCTGGAAGACGACCCGGGAGCTGCTGCAGCCCAGATGCGCATCCAGGGTTCCTGTGCCACTCCCAGAAGACGGTGTGGGAGGGACAGGTCCTTGGAGGTGGGAGGTGGGACGAGTCAGGTCACTGACTTCTTACAGAATTAATATGCGTTTCTTGGGTGCTGTAGCTAGTTCTCTGGAGATACAGTCACTCTTAAAGATTGAGACTAGACAGACACCTTCCTACAGGTCTGTAATCCCAACTACTTAGTAGGATGAGGCAGGAAGACCACAAGTGCCAGGCTGGCTGGGGTGACTCATGGAGACCCCGTCTCAAACAGCAAAGTGCTAGGGATGGGCTCAGAGTAGGGGCTTGCTTAACACGCACCAGGTCCTGGGTTCCACCTCCAGCACTGGCTGGACAGAAAAGGTGAGCCTGCCGCTCCTGCTCTGGCTTTCTGCCTCTCACACAACCCCCCCTCACACTGTCCCTCATCCCCATGCCGTCCCCGTGAGCTCTGCACCAGAGCTGGGGTGATGACAGTGTCATAGCTTTCATCCACCAGAAATCTCAGCAAAATAATCCTCTTTTCTGCAAAAAATATCCTAAGCGGTTTTGTTATAGTAACAGAAAACAGAGCTCTCAGATGGGAGAGAGGAAAGGAGAACGCGAGGAGCCACCACATGGTCATCCTCCCCAGCCTGTTTGTCTGTTTGCCTGGCCCAAATGCCTTCCACCAAACTGTGATGTTTACTTATAGTTGCCTCTTACAGGCTGCCTGGGACATTTCACCCCTGTGCCACCTCCAGTTCCACATAAACACTGACTACACCCTTGTATTATAGATCTTAACTTTTGTTTATACCAGTCATTCTACGTAAGGGGAATTATGCAATGTATATTATTTTGCAACTGGCTTCTTTTCACGCTTTCGTTTCTGAGACTTCACCATGGCACCGCAGAGCTATAGTATGTTCTTTTCATTGCTGAGCAGTAGTCCATTCTATGGTTATTCCCTAAATTGTTTATCTGTTCATTTATTGATGCATTTTCCTAGTTTAACAATTGTCAATAGAGTCATATATGTTATCGATCTCTGGATGGGCATGTGGTTTCATTTCTCTTGAGCAAATCCTAGGAGAAGTATAACTGAATCATGGTAGTAAATTTATATTTACTTTTACAAGGAACAGCCAAAATATTCCAAAGTACTTGGAGGGTTTCACATTTCACCAGCAATGGCTCAGAATTCCATGTGTCCTTCGTCCTCTCTGTCCACTACAGAAAGTGGTATCTCAATACGGTTTCATCTGCATCCACATGTGACATGGAGTACACAAGTAAGAATGTTTCATTTGCAAACTGGCCACTCATGTATTCTCCTTGAAGATGTAATATTTTCCCCCTTTTTAATTACATTATCCATGATTTTATTGAGATGTAAGTGTTGTTTATATATTCTGAATACAAGTCCTCTGTTCAGAAACATATAATGTGAATTCTTTCTCCAAATATGTGGCTTCCCTGTTTCATTTTCTAAATAGCATATATCAAAGAAAACAAAAATTTACTTTGGAAGAAGTCCAATTTCTCCATTTTTTTCTTTTCTGGTTCAAAGTTTTGCTATTTTAGCCAAGAAATTTTTGCCTAAACAAAAGTTACGATTTTTTCATGTTTTCTGTTCAAAATCAGCATTAATACTCAGATCTGTGGTACACTTGTCACTATTTTTATGAGTTTGGGTAAAGGTTCTTTTCTTCCAGATGGATACCCAATTGTTGCAGCATGATTTGTGGAAAATATTATCCTTTCCTCCACTGAGTCACCCCTACAGTTTTGTGAAAATCTATTGATCTTCTATGTGTGCAAGTATTTTTTGATTCTATTTACTATTTTCCATTGACCTACATTTATATCTTTACATCACTCCATACTGTTTTAATTAATATAACTGTAAACATTAAAGTCAAGTAACATAATTCATTTAACTGCTCTTCTACAAAATTACTTTGACTATTCAATCTTTTTGTATTTTTATATACATTTTAGAATGATCATTTCAGTTCCTATGAAAAACATGGTGGGATTTTAATTTATGTTTATATCTGCTCTACAAATGAATTTAGGGGAAATTGACAATATTGAAGCTTCCAACTTACAAAAATTTTATATCCCTCCATTTATTTATATCATCTTTAATTCTTTTCAGATATATGTATTTTCAGTGTACAGATTCTAAATTTGATTCATTTTATATTTTAAGTGGTATTTTAAATGTTTAATTTTCCAATTGTTTGTGCTAATGTGTGGAACTATGATTTTTATATATTGTCATTGCATCCTGCAATTTTGTTCAATGTGCTTATTATTTTAATAGAAATATTCCTTATGATTATATCCAAGAGACTTCACAACGTCTCTGAGTATAACTAGTTTTATTTCTTTCTCTCCAACTTTTCTGGATTTTTAAATTTCTTTTTCTTTACCTACAGCACTGGCTGGAAGCTCCAGGGCAACGTGGAATATAAGTCACCAGAGTGGCATCCTTCCTTGGGGAAATGTCAGGCTTTTCTCTCTTATTTTTTAATGATTAAATTTGATATTAACATCTCCCACTTAATATTCTTCTATTCTCCCCCTTCTCTTTTACTTTTCCCATTCTTGCAGCTCCTGGAATGATTTAGGACTAAGAGGGGACAGTAACTGACGTGTCTGGCATGAAACAGGGTGTGTCGGCACTCTGACTTGGGGTG